AGTCCAATCGTCCCGCCGTGCTTTTCTTGGCGGAGACAAAAATCTCAGAGACTGCACCGATTAACCATCTCAACTTCCCAAACTACGAGGTGCACTCCAATCTGAGAAAGAACGGGGGAGTTGTGGCTTTTGTCCGCAGCAGTCTTTCCTGCTCCAGGGATCTTTCTTTGGAATCAGACCGGAAGGACATTCTGTGGCTTCGCCTCAACTCCAAAACATCACCCAAATTTATTTGCTGCCTTTATCGCTCTCCCTCTAACCATAACTGGGATGACCAACTCGAATACCTCGCCGTTCAGATCGACTTCCTGAACATCAATCACCCCGCTTCAGAGGTAGTCCTTCTCGGTGATTTCAATGCCCATAATGAGCTTTGGTTGGGCTCAAATAAGACCGATGCAGCAGGTCGTGCAGTCGAAGCGTTCGCTCTTACTCAAGGGCTGACCCAGCTGGTGACGAGCCCTACTTTTTTCCCCCGCGTCTCGTCACACGCCAGTAGCCCGCTGGATCTCTTTCTGACCACGCATCCTGTCCCTTACAGCACTGCTGTCCTGTCCCCCCTGGGTAACTCAGATCACGGTGTTGTGGAGGTTAGGTTTCGGTCAGAAGCTGCTGTGGCAGCAGAAACTCGTACAGGCCGCAAAACTTGGCATTACGGACAAGCCGGCTGGGGGGGGCTCAGAGACTTCTTCTCTAGCTTTCCGCGGATGCGTCGACTGTCTGTTCTTCGATAACCGAAATTATCCACGTCGGAATGGAGGAATACATCCCTCACACAGTGAAAGTTCCTAAACCAGGGTCCAACGGCTGGTTCAACAAATCGTGTAACTCTGCTCGCCAGCAGAAGATCAAGGCACACAGAACCTACTTACAAAACCCCACTGTAGAGAACAGACAAGCCGACGTCGAGTCCAGAAACAAATATAATGAAGCGGTTCGCAATGCCAAAAACCAGCATGATATAAAAGTTAGGCACAGGGTAATGTCGCAGCGCAATGGCAGTCGGTCTTTCTGGACGCTGGCCAAGCAGATTGAAAAGAACTTCTCACACAGTAGCCTTCCACCACTTACGTGTCAGGATGGAACTATTGTATTCGACTCAAAGGCCAAGGCGGAAGTGCTAGCCAAGATCTTTGCTGCCAACTCCACCATGGACGTCCCCACCAACGCCCAAGTGCCGTCAATTCAAACGGTTCCCCACACTATGCGGGAGGTAACATTCAGGCATAAGACCGTAAGACGAGTGCTCTTGTCGCTCGACATCAACAAAGCTTCTGGTCCGGACCTGATTCCTGCCATTGTACTGAAGAGATGTGCAGCGGAGCTTGCTCCAGTTCTTTCGCGTCTGTTCCAGATATCTTATGAATCCGGCACCTTCCCAGAAAACTGGAAATTTGCTCATGTACAGCCCATCCCAAAAAAGGGATCTAAGACCGACCCTTACAACTACAGGCCTATAGCTCTGCTTTCTGTTATAAGTAAACTGATGGAGAGGTGCATAAATCGCGAGCTTCTGGACTACCTCGAACGTCACAGCTTGATTAGCGACAGGCAGTACGGTTTCCGGCACCAACGATCCACAGAGGACCTCCTAGCTTACGTCACGCAACTATGGAGTAAACTCTTCCAGTCTCATGGTGAGGCTCATGTCGTTGCTCTTGACATCACGAAAACGTTCAGCTGTGGCACGCTGCCCTCTTAAGCAAATTTCCATCCTATGGCCTCCCAGAAAAGCTTTGCAGATGGGTGGCTGACTTTATCTCTGGCCGCAAGATATCCGTCGTAACTGACGGATTCTCCTCTTCATCCCACAACGTCATCGCGGGTGTTCCCCAGGGATCGGTCTTGGCTCCAACACCGTTTATCTTACATATCAACGACCTCCTTTCCTGCACGATCAACCCAATCCACAGCTTCACTGATGACAGCACTCTACATGCAGGAATTCAAAGTGACAAGCCGATCTCTGCCGCTGAGCTGGAAAAAAGAAGACTAGCGACGACTTCTTCTCTGACAAAAGACCTGGAGGCTATCACTGCTTGGGGACGCAACAATCTTGTACAGTTCAATGCCTCCAAAACACAGTACTGTACTTTGTCGAACAAAAAGCGTCCTAGCGCTCATACAGTTTCGATGGACGGCTGAGTTCTACCAAAGAGCCATTCATTTCGGCTGGTCGGAGTCCAGATCACCGAGGACCTGATCTGGCACGAACACATCTCGTCAATAGCGGCAGCTGCTGGGAAAAAGCTAGGCTATTTGTTTAGGGCTAAGAAGTACTTTTCTCCGCATGACCTTCTCACTCTATACAAGGCCCAGATAAGGCCTAGCCTCTATTGCTCACACATTTGGGGTGCTGCCGCCCCGACTACATTGTCCATGCTCGATGCTGTCCAGAGGAGGGCGGTCCGACTGACCGATGACTCTTCTCTAACAGACAGTCTCGGGACTCTTTCGCACCGGCGGGGCGTCGGCGATCTAGCTCTTTTCTATCGCTATACCAACGGGCTTTGCTCCTCAGAACTTTCTTCCATGATGCCGCCGCACGATGTGCCTGCGCCAGACAGACCCGCCTGACTTTGGCGTCCCATCCTAACCGTGTCAAACTTCGTACATCCAGAACTGGCCGATACGACCGCTCCTTTGTCCCGAGGGTGTCTAGATTGTGGAACAATCTACAAGAGGAAGCTTTTCCCAGTTCTACTAACCTTAGGCAGTTCAAAAATCGTATTAACAAAATTTCTTTGGGATCATCATAGCAGCCGCGGTGTTCCAGCATTTAGGCTTCTGCCTGCGCGGCTGTTTCGATATAAAAAAACAAACCATAAAACTAGACAGACGGTTAAAATCTAGGGCAGAACTCGACCTTTTCTGTTTAATGTTTTCTATCAAAATCAACTGCTACAACTAATATATTTGTATAAATAAAAATGTTTAACTAAAAATTAATTCCGGATCAATCAATTTTGCTAGTTCAATAGCACCATTCAATGTTAATAGTTAGGTTAAAAGGTGGTGATTTTGATAAAGAAAAAAACATAAAGGTGAAAAATCGAGTCTGGTCCGTGATTTTTTAACCGCCCGACTAGTTTTGCGTTATTCCTAGGGAACTTTGCTATGTTACAAAATTTAAACAAAATCGGTTTTATACCGCCCGAAAATGTGATTTTAAAGATTTGGCATGTTTACATGAAGCCGTAAATAACGAATTCAGACATTTTCTATTTTTTTATACGGAAAGGTCTCGGTCCATACAACCTACCACTCCACTATGTCCTTGTAAGTACGGAACACCCTGTATACCCTCCCCCACCCCTGAAGCATCCAGCCCAAAATTTTTAACAAAAAATTATCAAAAAAAAGCAAAATTCTTATATATTCCAAAACGTAGCTTGAATGATTTATATTTTTCTGTCTTTTGCTCGTAACTTTGCCGTGAGTGGATCGATGTTTCATAACTGCATTTTCGTCATAACCTTCTGTCAGACTTTTATCAAAACGGACAGTGTTTTTCGTGATATACATGTCATACCAAAGACATTAGTCTAATCATATTAGCAAATTTCCCCGAAATAATTGTAAAGTCTGGTTTTATTGATGCAAGTTGTTCAAGTGGGTATTTGAAACAAGGAATCGAAAGTGTTGATAGGAACGCAAAAACTTTTCATATAAGACTTATAGGTATTTATGAGACCTACATAATGAGGCCACAGATAAATAGATCGGAATAATAGCAAAAATATTATGGCCGAAAAACGAGGCAAAATGCAGGTTTTGGCACTTGTTGATAATGCGACAATAATTTCACGCAACTTCTTGACATTCTTCAAATCCGTAGAATTCATACTTCTAAATAACAACAAAATTGGAGTATATTGGTCAAGTAGTTTTTTGAGAATTTCTAATTGTTTATCCAAAAACACCTGTTTTTCGGCCATCACTAGTAGTTTATTGAGCAATTTACAGGGTTCGTTCATAGAGCATTTAATAGCAAAATACAAGTGTTTACCTTGCAGATATGTATGAATCATAAATCATTCCGCAAGATAAATGTTATTTTTATGCGAAAAACAAAGGTTACGTTATTTTTTTCTTCTAAGGAAATTCGAACATTTCGTATTTGTGAGTAATTGAACAAATGCGCTGCGATATTCGAAAAACATACATTACTTTTAACATTTTATTACAAAACGGATGTGTCTATCATCGTTTGTTGCGAATTGCTCACAATACGAAATGTTTAAATTTGTTTAGAAGTAAAAATGCGCAACCCATCCTTTTTTTGCATAAAAATAAAGTTTATCTTCCTAAATGGTTTGCGATTCATTTCGGCAAGGTAAATTAGTGTATTTTGCTATAAAATGTATGTTGATCAAAAAACTAGTAGTGATGACCGCAAAACGGGTGTGTTTGGATGAAAAATTAAAAATTCTCAAAAACTACTCGACCAATCGACTCCAATTTTGTTGTGGTTATTTAAAAGTACGAATCCTACGAATTTGAAGAATTTCAAGTATTTGCGAGAAACCATCGTCGCATTACCAACAGGTGCCAAAATCTGCAGTTTGCCTCGGTTTTCGGCCATAACTTTTTTGGAATTAGTTTGATATTTTTACGTGTGATTTCATTTTGTAGGTCAGATAAATACCTAAAAATCATATTATGAAGAGTTTATTCATTCCTGCCAACGCTTTCGATTGATTCCTAAAAAACACGTTTTCTCATTCTTTGTTGTCGAATAAAAAGTTTTCCCACAAAAATTGGTGTACCCATTTTATGCGTCCATGTTCTAAGTACCCCCTTGAACAACTTGCAGCAATAAAACCAGACTTTACAATAATTTCGCAAACCAGGGGTATTTTCGTCTAATATGATTACACTACATATCACAATTTCAGAGTTCTTCGCGATTAAAATACTTCCTCGTCGTGGGCGTGAGAGGTATAAAGATGGTGAAAGTCCCAACAATTCTTGGGGATCCCGTAATTAAGAATGATACAATGAGTTACTTGTTTCTTTATTGCCTTATACAATATTGTGTTCTGTAGAGTGTTGATTCTGATTCCGCCGAGTTGAATATCCTGAGACGTAGAAGCCTTTATTCAACCTGTCCAACTGTGATTTACAGGCTCTTCATACTGTCACGTCTGCTTTCATCCAAAGATATTTCGCTGGACTCCGTAGAATCTAAATCGTTATCGAACGTTTCTGATTTTGATTTAGTGGCTTTCAGTTTTCTATCTGGTTTGTTTTTATTTCTTCTGAAGAAGCCGCACCACTTCCTTTTTGTCGGAGGCGGAGGGGGTGGCGACTCTAAATGTCCATTTATCTGTTAGAAAAAAGGTTCCAAGTAGATCAACTCAGCACTTACTTCTTACACATTCCTGTTAAGCCAAGTGGAAGCTGACACGCAGGGTGGCACATGTGAAGTAAGGTGTGACAGTAATAGCACAGTTGAATTAGCGGTGATTGTGAGTTGATTTGGTTGGCTAATTCTAATATGGAAGAGTGTCAGGACAAAGGTGCAAGGTGCTGCTAGGCCCTGAAATTATAGAACTCTTCCGAAAACCGTTTTTTTTTTTCGATAATACCGATTTTCTTAAATCTGATCTTTTACGCATAGTATAAGGAAAAAGGTTTTAATTGCTACCTAAAATTAAGCACAATTATATTGAAAAATGAGTTATGCTCATTATGCATATCTTAATGAAATTAAAAGTAACCAAATATAAATTCACCTTATCAGTAATCCTGATCCTACTCTATACAGCAACCATTACCTCCATGATTTCCTTTATCTTCAGTCTGCCCCGAGTTTTTTATTTTTATCATTCGACTTCGGAATTAACATTGTCTCTATTCTGTACTTTGGAAGTCCAGTTCAGTTACGTTTGTATAGGTAGGTAGGAGAACTAAAACCTTATTAGCCATACAGTTAAGCGTGGTAAATTTTAATGGTGATTACTTGCGTATTCCTACTCTATATTCTAACGAACCAGAGACCAACTACAGTGACGAGTGACATTGCACGCACATTGAAATGAACAAAGGACAGTGGAAAGACAGAAAGTGTTGCTCGGGGTGTATTGTATCGTTCGGAAATTTCGAAATTTGGATACATAACAGTGGTTGTGGAAAATACTTATATGATTTTCTCTCCGACTATCGCCATTTATCATTTTTCTTTCGATATTCATTGTATTTCAAAATAAATCGGCAATCGATAAATTCCACGAATAATACTACTATCGAGTTTAATTAACGCAATATGTAAAACGTAAAATGAACCACCCAATTCACAAGATCCAAATTCGACTAGGCTATATTACTGCGATACCAGGCATCACCTGCGCCATCCTGCGTGTCTAGTTTGCTGGAACGTATACATTTATTCTTAGGGAAGATGCAGTATTATCTATTTATTTATACAATATGTAAGTAGAATGTTAAAGAAATAATACATTGACAGGAAAGTTCATTAGCCACAAATATTTTGGGTGACTCAATATTCCGTGGACATAGAAGTACCACGTATTTTTATACTTAAAATAAGTCGATTGAATATAATTTACCTCTATGCAAAAGTGCTTAGTTGGTGCGTTAGAGACCAGATAGTTCGATTTAAATTCAATTTGAAACACTTGTGTTTTTCTAGACGTCCTAATATTTGACTTACAATAAACCCGAAATGGTTTGAGAAGGGTGAAAGCTACCTCCACCGCTACGTAAATTATAGCAGAATTTTTTCGCATCTGCAATGACTCTGATTCTTTTATTTGAGAGATCTGCTTATTCATTTTTCATTTTTTGTCTCATAAAAGCAGACCATCTGGCTGGGTCCAGAAATGTTCTTATTGCACAAAGTAGACTTATTTTGATTCTAAAATAAAGTGGTAGTTCTATGTCCACAAAATATTGGTACACCCTCTATATGAAGCCGGTGTACTGACCACTTGCCATAAGCAAACTGGTTTGTCTGAAATTAATATACTTGCTACTAACAAACGATTTTCAAGTGAATTGAATCACAGCCGACGTCAACTACGAGCCGTGATGAAAGAAAGGCAACACCGCGCTCGGACGGCATGGTAGTGCTACCTGTGAACGTCGGCCGCCAGCGGCTGTGTGCTCCGTCTCCGTGTAACGTTCAAGAACTAAATTTAATTTTGGAAAAGAGGACAGTTCGATTCGTTACAAATCATCTGAATATGAAATAGCTCTAAAAAATTTAAAAATACGAAATAATCGTGATATATATGAGTCGCTAATGCAGTTAACCTAATTAAAAGTATTTAGTTTACGTTTTTTGGTGTCAGCACACTGTGTTCCAACAGGCCCAGCTTGGAAATGTGGAGTTACCCGTTTGTTTTTAATACATTTACTTTCAGTTTTACTGTTATTTTTCAATTTTACATAATCATTCAAAATTATGTTTGAAAAAATAGACAAAAGCTTAGATAAAATATCTGCAAAACTGCAGCCACAGATGCAAGTTAAAGAAAATTCACTGTATATAAAGTCAGACTGAATGCTGAGCAAGGTTAACTGACACAAAATAAATTTTTGATTATTGCTTTATTCAAGAAGAAAATTTCCAATCTATCTACATTAATAATAGATTCAAAAATGGCATACATATGGTAGAATATGATTGGTACATAACTGGTTGGAATTGACAGTCCTCCTCTTTGCAAATGATCAAAATAAACATTTGTTGTTAATGAACCTTTTTCTTTAACTATTAGCGATTTGCTTATCTCGCAGTTTAGGTTTTTAGAGATAGCGTGTGAAGCATATCCAGATATATAAGTCTTAGTACTATCCTCTATATCACAATTGGCTAAGTAATTTGTCTCAAATACTTCATTGAATATATCCAAAACTTCAGGATTTTGTTTGGTATCCAAGAAATCAAAATTTTCTTGAGTTTCTAAGCAGTTTTGGAACCTTGTTTTAATTTCTGCTAAAGAAAATGACGATTTCTTTTCATTGAAAATATGCTTCAGCCGTATTTTCTTTTCAGCATTTAAAATTTCATCATATGACACATTGTAATTGCAGCCACATAAAAGTCTATAATTGCCAAATCGTTTTTCTAAATTATCAGTGGTGAATTTTCCAGGCAATACATACTCAATGTCAAATTGATTAAATGAATATTCAATTATATTAAGTAGAGTCAGCGTGCTTTGATATAGAGCTGTATACGTTTCTGGTGTCAGGTGTCCATTATTATTCTCTAGATTATGCCATTTTTCTAACCATATCAGGAATTTTTTTAAAAATTGTACTCTATAATCATATTTATTGGTAATAGGCTTACAAAATTCGTTTCGCTTCAATTCTCCTTTTATTACACTTGTATTACTGACAATATCCCACCAATTCCTGATTATTTCCAAAAAGTGTGCAGCATCATTAAACTTTAATTCTTTCATAGCAGCTATTGTTGAGTGATGGAATAAATTATCTATAAAATTTACATTTTGCCTTTCAAATGAATTTGGATGCAATGTTTTATAATTTAATTTATATGCTTTCTTAACTACAGCTTCTTTTTTCAATTGATATACAGCACAAATGTTTTCAAATTTAGCATACTGAATAATATCATTATTGTTAAAATTGAATTGAAAATATGCACAACATCATAAGTTAAATATATGTTCTTATCAGGATTATGTGGATTTGGAATAGAATAATTTTCTGATGAATGCTTTGCTAATTTCCTGAACATTGCTCTATTAATTCGGTGATTATCAGTAACAACACAAATAACTTCAAATCCACATTTTTGAACTAAATTTATCACATGTTCAACCAAAGGTGTCATTTCATCACCTGTTAGATTTGAAACTGGTAGTAATTTGATAATTTCTGTTATGTTTCCAAATGCTGAAGATAGCATGAAGGCTAAAACAGTTTTAGCTATGTCATTTTTATTTGAAATTTGAAAAATACAACCAGAATTTGCACGTTTTCAATAGTTGAAATCCTTAGCGTCCTGAGGCGCGAACAGCCACAGTCACACTTCTTAGTTTATTTTTAAAGCACAGAAGCACTACAACTGGAGTCTATTTCTCATATATTATAGTCACCGATCACTTTGAACACATACACACACTTTGAAGCTTAGAAAACAAGCTTATCTCTTAATTACAGCCTCTGCGATTTCCAAATCACAAATTGAAAAGGTTATGTTTTCTCAGCGTTTTGAGCGACGGGAGTAACACTACCACCTACGTTGCCAGATTTCTTTGTTCACGGCTCGTAGTTGACGTCGGCTGTGATTGAATGTATGTCCGTTATCGTCTTAGCTTAAACGAGTCTAGAAAACCACTTGTCAAAAAAATACTTATTTGTGGTAGCAACTGATCCAGCCGGGTACAAATATTAATCCATATAGCAAATAAATACTTCTCTACTTAATGTTGAGCATTTTCACTTATATGGAGTGAAGTATTGTTGCAATTAGCAGTTCGAAAATAGAAATTGTGATGAAGTATGACGCGCGTCTTTTATTCAGAGCATCGTCAGATTGTAAGTAATATCTGTCTAAGCAAAAGCATGAGAAAAATAAAATAGAATTTCTAGTGCAACAAAAGTAACGAGTCGTTAAGCCGTCCGTTAAGTTTGACAGCGATAGCAAATAACGAATGGCGTATAAAGAAGAGTTTTTATGGCTTCTAAGGTGAACTGTAATAATTTGACAGTAGTGAATAGTGACAACCATGACCGGTTACTTATTTGTTTTATTTTGATGTGAAGGTAATCTCAGAATTTTAAGGCAAGTGAGTATATTCCATGGAAAAGTATTGGTAATATATGTGCACGGAGACTTGCGATAGGAGATTAAACTGCGTAAGTGGTTCTTTGAAGCCAATCCTGTCGCCAAGAATCGCGTAGCTCTTGGAAATCTAATGGTCGCAGAACATTGCGCAGAGGGTCTGAACATCGAAAAATGTCAACATAACTTGCCTCAATCTTTACTCATGTTTTGCCATGAGGTTTATTATTTAGTAGTTTATTAATATTATCCGATATTTCTGCTTAAAACTCGTCCAAACTGTCAAAATTAGAGTTGTTCACAAACATGAAGACAGCAACAGAGAGATGCCACGTGCGCAGAACCTGAAATTTATTTTCTGCGCAGTCTACCAACTCTTTTCATCGTCGACATTTTTGCCTTCCCCGACTTCATGTGCTTAACCTTCTATCCCTGATCTTCATGTATTTGTGACTTATGATTGTTCCAAGCTCCAGGGGATTTACGTAACTGACATGATGTCGGTTTTTTTACAATATATCGGTTTTTTACATTGTGTCGAT